ATCATACAGCTGAACATACAGTGACAAGTATTCAGAGTAATCTTACAGCAATGCAAAAGTAATTTTCTATTTATAATCTCTATGTTAGGACTATTATCAACTAATCATTTATTTGCACTCCGCAGCCATACAATCCCTCCTTTTTAAAGCCTTCAGCGATGCAATCTTGCTGCTTAAATATTGTTAACACCAGCAGATTTCCTTATTGATCTAGATACTCTTTCTACATTGACTCTTTACAATCTCAAGTAACATACTACTTTATCCACCCAAACCTAGATAAAAACCTTTATATGATCTATAATTAGTTCATATATCAGTCCTACAAATTGTCTCTGACCATCATTTATTCACTTGAAGCCAGTCTCCACATGTCCTTGTTTTGGCGAATGAAGAAATAAAAGGATTAGAATGTGTCTGGGTGCCTCATTTCTAAAAGAGCATAGACCCTATACACATTTAATTATCCCAATGTCTGCCGTTAGTTTAGGAAGACTTTACAGCTGAATAACCAAAGCAAATTCTTCTGTAACCCATACCAGTAAAAACAACGCCAAGTTTTTACACTGTGTTCTGTGTGAGGATGTATGTGATTACAAAAAGAAACGTAAATCACCGAGACTAAGCTCTGCAAAAACACCTGAGGGATGCAGCTGCCTGGCTTGCATTCATTTTAATGGAGAACACGCACTGCTCTGGGACACCTTTGAGAAATTCAGCCGACACAAAATTCATCTCTGTGTTAAAGCACCTCTGCACTCACCAGGCTAGCTGCTGTCAGCAGCAGCAAGTAACCATTACGTGAAATGCAGAAACTTCAAGGACTGACTAACTAACTGCCAGTTATTTAAGCTGTTGATGCCTAACTTCCTAATCATTGACCTGCCTGCAACTAATTCGGAAGCTCTTGTGTATTTTAGTAGTGAATGACTTGGGAGAAATCCTGATTGAACACAGCTGGCAATGTTCATACCATTTTGGGTGAAGTGCCTCTTACCAATTTCATCCAGCAACTCTTGGGCTGGTGGAGGCAGCTCATCATTGAAGTGGTTAGATGCCTGTGAGAGCGCTGAGATAGAAAAAAAAAATCTAGTTAATTAGCAGTGATTAATCCTTAATAACTGTGATACAGACTTACACTATGACAGCATCTTGCTGACATATTTCATTTATCAACCTGCATGAGCCTGGCTCATTCACATCTTATCAAATATCCTTAAGTAATCTCAAATGGAAAAATTTAGAGTTAGACTTGCACATTCACTTCTCAATCCTGTATTGCAAATTTTAGGCCAGTAATATTTACACCTCAAATGTAGTTGATTAGAGGTCTGAGTTCTTAGTCTGCAGGTGCAAACACAAAATCCATAACCTCATTACCACTAGCAATATGTAGCTGTGCGCAAAGCTACTTACTCCTTATCCCTATAAAAAGAGATGCCCAAAAGAAAAGAAAAAAAGACAAGAGAAGTAAAATTGCAACATTTATTTTCAAATCTCTTTCTCTGTTTATTGATCGTTCTATTTGGGCTGGGGCTGGGTTAAGAGACTTACCAGATGCCTTCCTGGTGCTTCTCAACGATGAAGCAACTACTGGCAACCCATCCTGTGTAATCATACAGAATGAAACACAAGAAGGTAAACTGAAGAACTGCCAGACTTCAATCCTTCCCTTTAACACACTAAACCCAAAATGAGGTAAGGCCTTAATTGAAGCCTTAGCTCACCATTAGATTTCAAAATAACCTCTTCAATCAGTTCAGACTATGAAAACAGAAGTAGCACCCAGGTGAGAGAGATGTGTCAAAAACTTTGCTTAGGCTGCTGTGCGCTCATCTCTCAGCCAGCCGTAAGATACTGTCAGCTATATAATCTTGATTGATTTCAACACTCTGTATGGACAATTGGATGGGAATTCTCTGAAAGGACAGTACCAACATCTCTTAAGTTCCCATTCTCTGCTTTGAATCTTTAATTATTAAAGCCAGGCACACCTAAAGAGCCCCCAAAAATCAAGAGTTTGTAATCATAGGCAAGTCCTCACTGTCCTCAAAATGGAAACAGATGCTTCACGCACTCAATCCTAGAATAAGATTTTAGACAAGAGAGTGACAGAAATCAAACATCTCTGCAGAGCCAGTCACAGCAGCACCACACTGTTAATGGGCTTAATGAATTCCAACTGTCTGCCACACAAGCAGAAAGACACAAGACCTAACGTAGTGACAACGAATGCAGTCACTACTGTTCCGGTTGAATAAACCTTAATTTAATCTTTAAATGACAACCCCATCAATGAATAACAGTAAGAAAGGCATAAAGGCAACTATTTCATAACTAATCATCTGAAAAGACAGTTAAGATAATGCTGTAGCTCTGGAACACCTTCAGTTCCAAAAAGATTACTGGAAATTGCTACAGTGACCTTGGAAATTGTCAACTCCAAAGCGAGAGGATTTTTTGATACAAGAAAGTTGATAACATTATGCCATGTCTGTGCATAAAAAGGACAAACTTAATCCCTCAATACAAGGGCTTTCTGAACACTTACTTGCTTCCAAACTATTAGATGGAGGCTTCCACCTTAGTTTTCTTCAAGGAATCGCTCATTTATGTACTCGTTTACCTTTCCTCACTAAGCTTTGAGAATTCCTCAGTTTCACGTGAAAGCTTACATCCTCGAACGCACATGCACATGCATGTATTTTCATTTGAGTTTGTTCCCCACTTCCATACAGTCAAAAGCCTATAGCTCACAAACCACTGGTGAATTCAGAGTGGTTCAGATATGCAGCATCCTGTCGCCTCACCAGAAGACCAACGGACCAACCTCCCCTTTCCCAACAATAACGTACCTTTTCTACCCAACCATTTTGCAGGTACTTACCACTTTGGTGCTCCGAGACTACCGGATCCAATGCTGGGAAATGGCAATTCTTTACAGCCAGGGAAGGGATGGAGGGCAGGCAAGGCCATTTTGATGGCGGTCAACACTTACCTAGGATTAGGGGCAAGTGGAAGCCAACTGTCTGACAATCAGTGGCACACACTGACTGCTTTGGAATCCATCAGAACTTTTGTCATTATGTCAATAGAGCCAGGACTACAAATTACAAAGACCTAGAAGTACTTCTGTGCTTCCCATCTTGCATTTATTTTAAAGAATGGCTGGCATAAGGTAAATTTTCTGGACTTACAGGCTCATTCAATTCAGATGAGCGAACTCCTGAGGCAACCAAGGGCATTTCAGTGCTCCTTTCCCCTTCACAGGCTGTAATGAATGTCCTGGACACCGCAGAGATCTCTGGAGAGCCGCAAAAGGAAGAATCTGAAGCTACTTCATGGCAGTGTTTGTATTTCTCAGAGGCTATCAAAATTTTTTCTTCTGGAATTAAAAAAAAGAAAAGAAAAAAAGATGGTAGCAAAGCTGGAAAATTATTTTTGGATTTTTTTTTGTATCTTGGTCACATTTCAATGAAAACAGAAAAAGTTTTCTTGTACTTGAACAGGCATCTGCACAGGAAACTCTAAGAAATTCTTGTCCAGAAATGATCTCTGAACGGACGTCCAAACTGATTATGTAGCTGTTCCACCTTGTTCGTTATATATGCAAAACTTTGCCAACTGAGAAATTTCAACTACTGTATTACACCAAACTAATGAAAGTACAAAGCAAATGATAATTCATTGCTTTTAAACACTGAAGTTCAACAAACATTGAGATCGCTTTATCAACACTCAAAACATAGTAAGTGCTTATGACATTGTCTGTCTTTAAAACGCTAAAATCTGCATGTATCACTCCAAATCAGTTTTAAATGTCTAAAATAATTTCTGATTTATAAAGGTTACCATTAATGACCAAGTAATCACCTTTCAGAAACCTTTCAGATAGTGGCTTTTTCAGCTGTGTCGCCCTAAATTATCTTTTAGTTCTACATTAAGAGATTTCTTTTAACCAAACAGGCTCTAACTACGAAGTTGTAAATATTCAGACCAAACCAACGAGATTACAGACAAGAAGGACAGCATTTCTTGTGGTTACTTGTTCCAAGCCTGACATTTCTGCATTGGTACGTGAATGGAGTTTCCATGATTCACATCAACGACTTTTACATTAGCAAGTCTTGGCAGAAAGGTCTGACTCCTGGCGTGGAAAGGTTCAGTAAGTCACCGGTCCTTCCTCTCTGCAGTTACCTGAGCAGAGAGGAGTGCTGACGCTCATCGGTGCGTGACTCACTCTGGGCGTTTTACAATCCATGTCCCTGTAGTGGTTCTCTTGCTCATAGTGGATACTCGACAAATCCTGAACATCTGTCACTGATCTGAAGTATTGAAAGATGTTCTGAGAGTTAGAATAGCCACTTCTTACACTTGTGAATTGCTAAATTCTGCTATTTTCAGGTTCTTTATATTTCAATTTTGTTCAGTCTCATCTCGTTTTCCAGAAGAGACACAGAAAATTTCCCACACACCATCTTCAATAATCTTGCAGAGACAGAAAAGGTTAATTTTTGCTTTCCCTTCCTTTACAGGATTTCTTGATTTTAATAATCCTCCTATAAAAGAAATCTCAGGAAACTGCCTTCAGAAAGAACAAGAACTTCAAATGTGAACCACGAGGCAGAAAACTCTCCAAAGCCAAGCAAAGATCCCAAGGTTTAACAAAAATTAACAATACATTAATTAAGACTAAATGTAGGTCCTAAGAGACTTTAAAAGAATTACGCAGATAAGCTGAAACTGCTAAAGATCTGCACAGGCAGCGAATTCCACTCAAGTTACAAAAATTCTTAAGTGGATGCAGGACTGGGATTATATTAAGCAAACCAACGTCTTCTGCAGATAGACCCTGGATTACACTGTCCTCAGAAGATCATGAAATGAACAGACATCTACTGTTACCAAATCAGCAATTTCTATGCAAATCTCCATCATCTGTAAAAAGAAACTAACTTTACTCGTTAAGTCACAAACCTATTCTGCAAATTTTTCCTGAGAATCTCAATCACCACATTATTTGTGTAATAAAATTTACTTACCGACATACCAACGATTTGCTCTTTAAAGTAATTTTACTTCTTCTGTGTATCATGAACAGAACAAACAAGAAATCCTAACACTTTGTGTGACAAAGCACACCCAGATTAACACTAAGTTAATTACTTATGAATATGAAAACATTTCAAACCAAGGACAACTGTATGTGATAGCTCTTCTATACCAATCTCCCAACTTATCAAAAGAAAATTTTCTTCTCCCTCTCTCAGCTTTGGCCTGTCTCATCTTCCTGTTTTGCATCAACACAGAACTTTTACAGTGGTAACCACCAACTTGCTGAAGTTTTGATATGAAATGGTCTGAGCTCTTACACATCTTTTTCTTTGCTTTCTTCCTGTGGCTCCCACAGTATCACTTCTCGTGCTGCTTCATCACTGGAATGAGGGAAGAAAGGTCATATTCATTGATCCTCTCAGAGAATTATGAAAATAAATGTATTTAGTTTCCTCTCTCTCAAAGAGTTTAAAGGACTACCTTCTCTCCGAGGTAGACTGCAGCTCATAAAAGTTTTTTGCTTAAAACCTTAGAAGATGGAGAGTGCTAGGAGAAAAATGCCATTTTAAGCACATTATGGGTTTGTATCTGATAAGGAGAAAACTTCAATTTGACATACGCTGTTTCAAAACAAAACTGAAAGTTAAATAAAAATCTACAAATATACATCACCACATTTTTTTTTCCTCAACCTTTGACTGGGGTTTTTAAGAAGCCTGAAAGCCACTGCTGAAAGACCTTCAGGGGGAGGACTGTTTCTCTTTAAGCAAAGTAACCCTTGAAGCATGAGGTAGTAACTGGCCAATATCTCTGCATACTAGAAGAACATGAAATTTCCAAAAATACTGGATATAAACACCTCATGTTTGACAGATGAGACTACAAGTCTCCAAGCATGAGCTAATGTTATCTGCAGGCAAGATACAATGAGCATACTTGCATCAGATTGTTCCCACAGGAGGGGAAAAGGCATGATCTTCATGCCACTTGAGCTCCCGAACCAAAGCACAACAAAATTAAAACAGATGACTGAAGCCTTAATTTGAATTATCTTTGCTCTGTTTAAGACTAGTTAATCAATGTAGAAGGAATTGTAATACATACATGACTTATTTTTCCTATTTTAGCTCCTTCATTTAGCAAAAAAAAAAAAAAACAACAAAAACCCACAACAAAAAAAGAAAAAAGCACAAACTCAAAACCCCACTGAACACTGTAAAAGACAAAACCTCAAGAGACTTGTGAAAGTCCTTTTAGTGTTTTCTCTGCAAGGAACTATGGTATGTAGATAATCATTAAAAAACACTGCTGGCATCTTCTTTGAATATAAGATATACAAGCAGAATTAATAATGAGAGCACACTTTATAACATAATTTATGCTCAAAGTAACGATGAAAGTAAGTCTATCTACCTGGCTACAGGCATATGGCTGAGTGGATTCACTCCTAGCACGTTACTGCCAGAGTTCTGCGCCGCTGTGCTGCAGGAGAGCATTTTTCCTCCTGAATACAAATAACAAATGATCCCAGTTATTGGGTTTTGCAAGTACAAAAGAAAGCAACACAACTCATTGAACAGGAAATTGCAACTTTATTAAATTTTTCAGTTCTTGTGACCTTTGTTGTTGTCAAGAGACAAATGTGTTTTAAAGATGCATTTTCATAAACATGCCACAGCTGCCAGACAGTCAACCACTGAAGCACTGGGGAATATCGCAACATTTACAAATTTGAGCTGAGAGGCGCAACAGACTGGAGAAACAACAATGATCCTTCCATTATTCTGCACACAGACAATGTCAGCTCTTACAGTTTTTAAGCTCAAGATCCTTCTAGCAATAAGAATGTTAATGTGTAAATACAACTCTAAGTCAGTTTCCAGCACCATATTGAGCTGCATTAAAAGATTAAACGTAGCCCTAGGGTAAAAACAAAAAGGTTGCAAACAAGTTCTGTTTGGTTTTTTTAATGATACACAGCAAGAACATAATCATTGCAGTCAACAATATTTCAGTGACTGCAATGCCCAAACCTCATCTTCTGAAATCCTGAGTGTCCTGAACTCTGACTAAAATAATGAGGAATGAGAGACCAAGTGACCCTGAAGAATCAAGCTCCAGCCTTCTGACAGGAGGGCTGCTGACAAAAACCTAAGTGCAAAAAGACTCCTGTCTCCCTGACTCAAAAGTACCTTCAAAAGAAAGAGCACATCTACCTGAAGCCTCAATACCTGATGCTGCGTCTTCAGGTAACTGTTTCTGTAAAAATCCTTCACAAGCATCTTCTAATTTGCTCTCAGCATCTGAGGTCTGAAGGGGGGAAATAGGAAGTGAATTGAATAACAGTAGGACAACTCTCACAGCCTGATGTTCACAATAATCAGAATAGAGAGACAAACTTTTCAAGAGCTCATCAGCAAATAGCATGGATTGGATTGAATGGTCCATACAATAGTTTCAAGTCTTCAAGAAGTGAATGAAGATTCCTTTAAGACTATTGAGTACTACAATTGATAGAGCTGTGAAGGAAAGGCTGAGATTATCGACTGCCCAAAACTTTTCTCAGCCACAGATTATGTAATTGCCGAGTAAACAAGTGAAGAAAACATGCCCCTGGTGTTCTGGGGGCCTGAGTGTTTGTGGGGTTTTAGTTGTTTGGGGCGGTTTGTTTGTTTTTCAGGTGGGGGTGTGTGGTTTAAAGGAACAGGGCTAGAATTTTCTTACTTTTAGATAAATCTCTATTTGTAGATATTATTTCAAAAGGAAAGAATAAAAACTGTCATTCTCCCATTTTCTACAGCTCTTTGACAAACAGGAGCATAACAAAACCACATGTTGTGTAACTTAAGTCCAGAGCTCTCGACACAGACTTCATTCCTGTCTTTTCTGTTATTTTGACTTCTAGTTTTGAACTTCCCTGAGTAGCAGGAGGAAGGAAACAATCAGAATCAGGAGTCAAGAATTCTTCAGTCACATCAGGATATGAATTAAGGGAACAATGTAATGCCCTTGAATGCCCCTGTGAAACACATCATCATTTGAGATGTTTTCTCCACTCTCTATTAAAAAATATGCTAGTCAATATGTTAAACAACACTGCATCAAGTTGAAGTTATATTTCATTTGGTCGCTTTGAGTTTCAACCTCCCTCCTGCCCCTTACATTGCCTTGATGCATTATAGAACCAACCAAAAAAAACCAAAGGGGGGTGGGTGAGGGGGGATTGTTAGTCAGATCACAACTGAAAAGATCAGCTGTCTTGGTAGTTCAGTGTGCAACATGGAGAGACCAGGCTAAACTGTTTTACAGGTAACCAGCTGCAACTAAACTTCTTGGAGTACTATACATACTCTAGAGACATTCTCAACTTGTTGAGGAAGGATCGAATTCTTATTAATAACTATTCCAGACTCTGCTTGTTCATCTGGTGATGGTGACTTGGAACTTCTCCCTAGGATGTCAGAATGGAACAAAATTATTAGGCAAAAAAGAATATGAAGTGAGTGATCTGGACCACTGATGGAATATCAAGGACAGCAGACAGTAAAACTACATTGACTGTCAGGAACATGGAGAAATAATGCCATTTAAATGCTCACATCGTTAACCTAGGCATATGAAGCTGTTCTTGTTCCTTTATCCATAACCATTACAAACCCACTACCCATTACGTTGCTACGGAAAAAGCATCTCTGTAGTCCGAGGGACAGACATAAAGGTGAAAGCATACTCATGGATCTGAAAGCTTTGGGTCTCCCATGCTGATACGTGGTAATCAATGACGATGAAGAGTTTCCAAGCTCACCGGACATTACCTCCAACTACTAACATGTAATACTCATTCTGTTATTTATGTTCATCAGTGACTGAGTGATTGACCTGCTCTGGGGGCAAGAGTCTGGAAGATAAAATTGACAATTACTGTAACAAAACCACAGAAGCTGAAATAGGCTGGGAGACGGGGACACACAAAAAGAGAAGAAATTCTTTTTTTGTTTCTCAACCTTACCTCCAGAACTTCCGAATGGAGACTCCAGATCACTCTCCTCAGATTCAGATCCACCCTCAAAGCCCAGATCCGAAGGCTCAACATTATCACCTGTCTGCCACCTACATCTTTGCTGGTCTTGACTTTCTTGGACTCTAACAGTGACACGGTGAAAGGCTTCCTTTATACTCTCTGCTTCACTTTCAGACGTACATTCACTGGCTGGAAATGGAGAGCCGAGTTCTAGCTGTCCTGAGGCCACTCTTCGGGCCATTTGCTTTACTTCAGCTACACAAAAAGAACAAAATCACCAGTTCACCCAACAGAATCTGGACCTTCAAAGCATTCGCTTTGTTTCATTGTGTCTGCAGACTTGGAAATGCTAAATTTATAGCCTCTAAACTCCTTTACCATGAAAAAAGCTGAATACTTCCTCCCATTTCAAGAAAAGCTGAAGATCTGCATAAATTGATATGGACGAGCCTTTACATGAACAATTTTTGTTAGTTTGCGTTCTCTATTATCCGTGCCTGTACTGCCATCCACTGGTCATTGCTATACCACCCTTTCTAAATTCATACGCTGTCCCTCCCTTACATCCTCCAAAACAGGGCTAAAAATTCTTTGAGCTTCATAACCAAACCATCTTAATGTGGTTGTGATTATTTTATGCCCTGAATGTGCAAGACAAGAGGATCCTACTCATTTGGTTTTCAGCCAAGAAGAACCTAATGAAGCTTCAGCAACGCAGGCACACAGACCTTTCTTAAGTAACAAAATGTGTTAAGTTTTCATGCGCTGCACTGCAGTAAGACTTGCTAACATTAACGCCTAATTAACACTGATTTACTTACTCCTCCATTCTGATGGCATCATCCTTCTTGGCTCGCTTATTTTTGTACTGTAAATTTCAGATCTTGATTTTGGATAGCACCTATAACAAATTGTTGCGAAATGTATCAACCTCTGTTAATGCACAAGCATATTGTGTTAAGTACTCCCCAGCCAGTAAAAGACTAGAAGTTGGTCTAATGTTAATTAAAAAGCCAAGAGCACACGTGTTCTAAGAACCCAACAGAACCAGTAGGTTGAGCTGTCAGAAGCTTAGAAAGCACAGTTAGTTATCTAGGTCTGTTACAGATTAACCAGACAAGCTATACATTAAAATCTGTATTTCAAAAGCTGCCAACTGCCTTCAGATGCTATTATCTATGTATACACTAACAGACCACGAACGCTATGTAGATGTGTTTTATTCAGATCAGTTCAGGGATCACTGGACAACTGAAGATACTCAAAACTCCAGACTTGGGTAACAACCACCCTACCACCAACCCGATTCCAACCCCGAGTTCATTCCCTTGACCATCTAACCACACGTCAGCATCTGGTATATTTATGTTCTAACCAGGCATGTCCTTTACCAACAGGTCTTACTGACCCAACAGGGTCATCAATCAACTTAAAAACCGCAACAGCTTTCCCGACCGATTTGACCCAAACGTTGAAGGAGGTGCCTGTCCCCATCTTTCCAAGTCATAGATACATTCATTTGCACAAGTTTGCCAGGTACTTTTAACATGTACTTTCCACTCATATTAGAAATACGAAGGGATGACATTAAAAAGCACAGCGAACATAAGAAAGTAATGTATGCTCTGTTGTCACTGGGTTTAGCAAGACTGTTCTACTCCCTCAGCCCCTAACACAAGTCCTAGTCGTACCCCTATGAAAGCTGAAGTATTTCTAACTGAGAAGTCAATGAGGCTGTGCAGAGAGAGAAGAACCACCCTTACCAGTAACTTACCAGATTGCTCTTCTTACATACTGTTACGGTTTTGGACCACTGACCTCCATCAGAGAGGAATCTGTCTGACCCCCACTCTTTAGAAGTAACTGCCCTGGCGCAGCAGTCACCCTGTCAGCTCTGCAGCTGACACTGACTCACAGCAGGGTCCTAATTGGATAGATGGGGTTTGGCTTACTGAAAAAACACATTTAATGTCATCCTTGATCCTGGGTGCATTTACTTTTGACAGCAGCTGTATCAAGATGAATCTGCTAGAATTAACTCTTCTGTGAACACGATCAAAACTCACCACCTCTCTTCTTCACTTCTACTTGCTGCAGAACGTGAATCACCTCCTCTCTGACACTGCAAGTTGAACTTTTTTTTGCATCTTACAGATACATGTGGGAGTAAATGCTGAAATGAGTCCAACAAGCCATGATTCAGCACATGTCAGGCATTCTGGTAATTACTAGTTGAGCTGCCTATGAGATAGTATAAGAACCAGACCGTGTAAACCTTATTCCCTAGGTCGTATTTTAGCAGCACTGCTCAGAATACAGGATGACAACTCCAGGCCTTAGCCTAGTAAAAACTCTGCCCTGGATTTATAGCAGGTTTCCTATGTATACAGGCAGGCTATCATAACATGTAGTTCCCAGGGGAATGAAGGGACCTAAACGACTCAAGATTATTCCTACAGCAGGTATGTACATGAATTTCTCTCTTTCTTTGGGCTAAGCATGTCACCTACTTATATTTAATAAAGGAATTATCTAGAAGCCCTTACTAATGACAGCTTAGACCTCCATAACTAAGTATACGAACAAAAATCTTTCTCTGCCTGCCCTTTTCCCTGACAGTCCCATCTCCATCTTAGTACAGGATTTTATTCCCTCCTGAGCCACTGGACTAGTATTTTGCTGGAGGCGGAGTGGGGAGGGAATAATACTACTGCACTGCTGAGCTGATTATTTTCATTCCTATATATAATGCAAAAGGTATGCACATACATTTTAAGAGACAGATTCATCCTCATCCCTCCGCTTGGACACCATCTGTAACTACACCTCTTTACCTGCTAAGGAACACAGAAGTGATAAACACAGTGACCCTGCTCAACACTTTACCTCATGGTCCAGGCTCATTCGATCATCCAGGCTTTCCTCCACACTGAAGCTGGGATCATGACGGTTGCTATCATTTTTATTCTTATTCACCCCATGAAAGCACTTCCACTTTGCACTTGGAATTGCCTCCACTTCCTTTGCTGTCTTTGAACTCTTGCAAACTCTTGCTTGGAAACTCTCTCCACCCGATGCTCCTTGTGCCTGACATGTTATCAGTGGCGGAATATAGGCACTTGATGGTGGACCTACAGGCTTCCATGAAAAACTATGAACTCCAGAAAAAGGGTAACTGGTATTTTGGGAAGTATCATCAGATCTCTTCCAGTGTCCTTCTTGAAAATTTTGCTTAGAAAGCTGATTCATTCCAATTCCCTGGAGCAGCTGCTTTTGCTTTTCAGTGGCCTCTAATTTGTCCAGTTTCTCCTCTGTTCTGCACAGGGAATCTGCTGCCTGCTGCACCATGCTTTGCATAATCTTTAAATCAAGGACACATTTGCTGATGATGCGCTCCTCATTTCGGGACAGACTACTTGATCTTCTCCCAGCATCTCCTCTCACCTGTGCCAGCATGCATAGGTCAGAGGCCTCGCTTAGCCTCTCCTCCTCTTCTGTAGAGTACTCTGTACCCAATTCTGAAAGGTCACCTTCCTTGTAAAGTGTCTTTTCCTCACAGCGCATGCCAGGGGACGCATATAGGTCACCAAGGGTAGCATTATCTTCTTCCTTTTGCTGCCCTTCCTCAACCTCCACAGTTTGACCTAATCCAGCTCTTTCTTCCAGGAAGTCTTCGTGAAGTTCTGGAAAACTGGCAAAGATTTCATTGATTTCAAAGCTACAGAGGCTGTCATCCACATCACTGACACTGAGGGTCGTCTGGAGGTCAGAAGCTGCATCACGAATTTTGTCCTGTGCAACTGGCTGCAGACTGGCTGATGCCTCTTGGTCCACTAAAGCACTATTCTCCTCAGCACAAAGAGTGTGTCTTGGGGCAGTAGAGCTGTCTGAAAAATTTGATTTTAAGTGTTAAGTCATTTCCTCAGATGTCCATCAAACACGCTGCTTTCATACATTTAGGAGTTAACGTCTTTTAGAGATTACATGAGCAGCATTTAACACCTCTGCTGGAAACAGTGTGTCTGAACTTCAGATATTAACCAGACTTAGAGTCTTCAGTTTACACTAACAATTAGGATGGTAGCTAGAATCCAAAGCTACCTGCTTTCTGTTTTCAAACTACCTCATAAAATCTGTAAGCGCTCACATTTTAGTTACTTGTATTACACCTTTATGGACTGAGGAACATGCTGGACTCATGAGGAAGATGCTAAGTGAAGGACACATGATGTTTTGCTAGGAGAAACTCACCAGCCTCACTTATCTCTTTTCCCTGCAATTCCTGTGTTCTCTTATGGTAGCTAAAAGCTGATGCCAAACAGATATTCACATCTGCATAAACACCGGGTCTCTGTACTTTTGACATTTCATCAGCACGACCAGTTTGAGACTTAACTAAGCCCTGTAACACAAAAAAAAAAACAAACCCTGAATAAAAGACAACTATATTTGACAGTTCATTGTCTCTTCCTTCTCTTTTAAGGTGGTTTACCTCCATGACCAGAAAAGGACACTCAATGTATAGATTGCCTCCCACCTAGATTTAAGCAGAACAACTTGAATCTGAATGGACACAAAACTCTGCCGTTTATAAACACATGAAAGGCTACAATCCTGGCAGTCACCTTTAAGTCGTTTTTCAGTATATATTCAATATCCCGAAGTTTCATGGAGCGCTTCTTCTGTTTAGGTTCCAGCCCTGACTTTATGATACTGTAATAGGGCATAGGAAGTCTGACATCTGCTTCTAACTGCTGTCCCGAAATTATGAGCTGTTTAATAACTGAGTCTTCAAGACCTTTCCAGGGAAGGGTCTCTGCAAGGCATAAATATAGACTTTACGTCACAAGCTGTATATCAATGTTAATGAAAAGAAAAGAAAGAAAGAAAAAAAAAAAAAAGATGAAACAATCAGAGATACTGAAGCACAATTGTCTGCACATTTCCTAATTTACAACTACTGCCATGAACCAAATGAGCACTCGGTCCAGTCTGGCATCTCGAGCCCTCATCTTATTTCAACAGCGGATGCTTTAAAGGAAGCCGACAGCAATCTCTTGAGGACACTTACACTGTAAACCACGCTCCGGATTCTTCATTAACAACTAGCTAACAGAAGGCTTAATTTTTAGGGTGTTTATCCTATTTCACTGTCAAAACAGTCAAAGTCAATACATAACATACATTACATTATCTGTAAGTTACCTTAGTGATCAAAAGATAAAAGCTGCACAGGCTCATTTTGCACATTGCGAAGAGTTACCTGAACGTTCTGCTGTCCCCGTATGCAGAAGAAAGTTAAAAAGCAGACAAACACCACACACAAAATTGTATCTCTCCAATACCAACTATTAATCTCATCCTTTAGTTGTGAAATTTTAAGTTTTCTGATCACATTTTACGAGTTTCCAGTAGTTTTTGCTACTGTCATTAACGTTTGGGTTTTCTGCCTGGAAGGTTCCTTTTCCAAGTTAACTCTGTCTGAGCCATCACAGCGAGGTTTTGTCCCGTCACACAGGGGAATTACCAAAGACATGAGGGGGCTGACAGTCCGCACTGAACACATTCAGTGGGTTGCCCTAGTGACACAAACCTACACCTCCAGATATACCTGTCAAGGCCTCCTGCAGTACCACACAGAAGCTATAAACATCCGATTTGACCGTGACAACTTTTTCAAGGACAACTTCAGGAGAGCACCACTTATACAGCTGGACCGGGACAGGAATACGCGTCAGATCACTGTGTTCTCCACCATCTTTGCTGTATAAAGGGAAGAAAGTTGTAAATCGAGACATACAGCATGCTCAAATAGAAGGTATATCTTTTGGAATTAAACACCTGAGTTGGTTATATCTGCTTTTAGTTCAAATACCTAAAAAGTCCAGAGTACATCCACAAGTAAAAATGTGTAAAGTTTCATTCAAAGTATCTGCCAATAAATGTATTTTGGCAGATTACAGCAAAGACTTTCCAGAGAAAGTAATGCCTCCTTTAACAAATTTACACTCAAAAAGAAATAAGAGAAAGCTGAAGATTTCCCAATAGGAATTTTACAAACAACCCTTTAGCTCTGTCCAGCGTTCTCTGACCACGGACAAAATACAAGAAGGTGCCACCCAGCCTGTCAACACGTCTTTCGCAATGTATATGTATGTCTAAAAGATAACTTCCTCCTCGCATTCAGCTACAGAGTTTTTTGTTATTCATTTCACAATAAGCTGTATCTGAAATAGACAAGAAATTGCCAAGATTTATTAACAAATTGAGTTTGTAAGGTAAGCTTCTGTAAGCACAAGTTCAGCGTAGAAAGAGATTTAAATTATTTCCAGCCCAGCAGCAGAACTAGGGACTCAAAGAGGAATTTCACCTCTAGTCTGTACGATTAGGTCCTATTTCTCTGTGACGGTATCTTTATACTCCAGTAACAAGCTGCTTCTCTTACTAGTTTGTATTTTCAGATACTTATAACATAGAAACTAAGTTCACCTGAAACTTGCCATACTGCCTGTGGCTGACTTAATCTGACTAGTAATAACCTGCAGTTCTTTACTCCTCTAACTCTGTTGCCTGTCTCAGAGGCAGGAGTCTCTAGTCAAGAGGGGCACTTCAGCAGAACTTAGCACTAAATTTGACATTACTTGTGTTTGTTCTTTTCACAGAAACAGCGAGGAAGTTCTTTACCTCTCTATCATGTATTCCAAGTTGCATAGCTTTGCCTCACCAGAAGAGACAATCTGAATGGCATAGGAGGTAACTGAACGGTGGATAAATCCGCGGGAGTGCAGAAAACACAAAGCGTCATTAATTTGAAGCAGCACATGCAAAATCGTCTCCATGTGCAGTACTGGGAATTCTGTACGCTGAAAAAACCAGGAGTACCAAATTTGCATTGCAGGTCTTTAAAGCGTGATGTAGGGGAAAACTACGACTGTACAGAAGGCAAAGAAAGCAAATATGAGCATACTGCTGAAAGTGTCACACAAATTGCTCTTGCTAAATAATGTTCATTCTCAACACCAAAACAACTAGAGGGGAAAAAAAAAATATTGACTATGCCAAAATTCACTTTGAAGCAGAATGAACTCTTAGAATTTCTTGCCTCTGACTGCACTTTCTCCAGTAACTTAGATGTCTGCATTCAAACAGTTAAAGAGATAACAACTCAATTAACTGCAAAAAAAAGGAAAGGAAAAATACTGAATGACAAAAATAAAACACAAATCAAGTTGATTTAAAAATAATAATAATAATTAAAAAAAAGAACCACAGCTGAGTTCAAGCCTTCATTTTTATGCACAGGCAGTCTGCAGTGCACTACATGCAAACATTCAAGGGCAAAAGCTGGTTTCACCACATTTGCAGTATACAACCACATGCAGAAAACTAAAAGTTCAGCCAAATTTATCATCAGCCATTTTAAGACTGACACCAAGCAAGAAAATCAATGCAACTGCACCTAAACATTAATTGAAGCATTTGCCAGTTACAAGCTTTACCAGCTTAGAGTATCTGACACCATGCAATGAAATAGAAACCCCAAAAGGCAGAGCAATGATTTTGTCTTCTTGTTCTTTAAGTAAAGATGGCAGATGTAGTTACTAAACTTCTTCCTCTCAATTAATTACTATTTAAAATACAAGTATTCCAATTACCCGTTCATGAAGGATGCTGTACAGAGAACCAAAGTTAACCCTTTCATATACTAAACGCGTTTTCTCCAAGTCACTAGACAGACAAACGGACATCAGCTGTAGCAAACGAGGATGATGGAGTTTACTGCAAAGGGAGAGTAAAAAAAAAAAAAAAAAATTGTAAATTGCAAATCGGAGATTAAGAGAGTCCTGGCATTCTAGGTGTTTCTATCAATTCAACAGGAATGTTTCTAACTTTTCATTAAAAAACCCCAAATTTTGAAAGACTGTAGATTAGGAAGTATTTAGGAAACAGTGCTTAATGTCACAACTAGAAGAGTCTATAAATAAACCACCCAAGAAATGTGCAATGAAGCATTCATCCAGACACATGAGAGGAGAGTATCATCTTCTCCTGTATTACCCACTGGGGAGCAAACGGAGTGGGAAGAGACCGGAGAAGAGAGACCTGTGTTCCTCATTTGGAGAAACGCAAGCACAGCCTAATGGTCTTCCCATGGTTAATCACATTTCCTCACGTCACTGGAGACAACCAAACCCCAGGAGTGCTGGTGGCTACCGCACATTGTCTCTTACCTACTACGTTCCTGCTCTGCAATGAGAAGATCAGCCAAGCGTAGTTTACTACAGTTCTGATGGGGCTCAAAGCCAAGTTCCTTCACTGTAACTCTGCTACCTCCCCACATTAAGCTACAAGGAGAAGAAGAATAATTTCTACAAGATGCTTTCCACAGTATTCTTTTTCAGTTATAGGATTACTTACAAGTAATTCTGTAATTCTGAAATGCTCTGGTGCTGTCTCCTTCTTTAGTAACATTACTTTGATGATCCTGGCTATAGCATATACTCTTTCAAACTGACAATAAATCCTCATCCTGTTAAAGACTGGATGTAGCAGGACATGTTTGCTGTCCAAGGATGCTACCCTTCCACGACCCCAAGGTAACAGAACAAGGACACTCTAAAACTACTTTCACTAAAGGCCATCAGCCCACTGTGATACAAGCCAGAGCTTTCGGAAGATTACATCACCAATCTGTCAATTCTCTGGATGCCTCTGAGGCACAACGACTTGCTACACAATACAAAAGATCAAAAAAAAATTTTAAAAGGCTCAGTCTGCACTTGCAACTCATTTCACCATAGATTTGAGCGAGTGGGCTGCAGACATGCATATCCAGAGGCCTGAGGTCTGACCCGACAATTACAAGGCCTAGACACTGAACAATGCAATCAGTGCAGCCCCAGCAAGACGTTTCCCACCACAAAAGGAATCGGTACTGAAACACTGCTATCCCCGAATAACCGTAACTGGGGTAACATTGCTGGAAAGGACACAAGCAACCTGCAGGTATCAAGGAAGCCTAAAGAAGACATTAATCAGTGGACTGCCAAAAACAAGCTGCAAGCAGAAAACAGTGGACGAATATAGAATAGACAAGGAAAACCATCCAAACAAAGCATCTGGCACAACAACTTGCTGCTGATAGGAACAGATACACACTAAGAGGGGCTAAAATCCCTTTGATTCCACTTACTTCGTCATGGTCATGTACGGTCCAACACAGTAAGAAAACGTCGGTTCATCATCTGCCTGAACCACATCTTTTTCCCCGATAATAGGGAGAGACGCCAAGTACCCTAGCTGCCCGCTGCCTGCAAGATAAAACTGAAACACCACCAGGGCGTGACCAAAAGGAACATGCAACAGTTCTCAAGGTCTGTCACATCTGTCACAAACTCCCTACAAACTTGAGTGCAATCACTGCAATGGGAGCATCAGCCAAAGTGTCATGACGGAACGTTAAGACATTCGTGTCGAAAGCTTAACTTTCTAGGGAAGCTGAAACAGGGACAGCAGAAGCCGTCATTAAGAACTTCCGCAGGTGACACATTTCACAGGAGCTTCTATTGCTTGTTCCAGAACAGCTTCCTCTGACAGGGCCTGCTAACGACTAGAGGCCTGAGTATTTGTGATCTCCAGTTTTTTCCCCATCATTTCATTAGAAAGAACACCACACTAAAAATTAAAAATAACACAGTTGGGGTAATTACTGTGAAGAATATGTGACTCTGAAAAACCGTACTGATACCATCAGAAAACCATTATCCATACACCTTACCTTCCCAAAACCAAAGCTGTAAACGTTCTTGGCTGCATTATCTCCATCTTTTAGGAATCTACCCAGAGGACCATCGACGTTTCTAAGTATCAAAAACATAAGAAATAAGGGTAACTAACATGCCAAGGCTTTGAGTAACATACAAAAGAGAAATGCAGAAATTCTGCCACAGCCATGTATTTCAAGTGTTGCATTTGACTGGTCCCACACAAAAAGTGTAAAGTGGATGCTGAAATTTCAAATTATTGTGCAACTCATTAAAACTTTTTAACAGACACACTGTTATGATATGTATTTGTTTAAAGCAAGACAGACAATTAAAAAAAAAACAAAAACAAAAACCCCAACAAAAAAAGCCATATAGATATATACGCGCACAGGCGTCCTGCATCGCTTTTTGTTCACTTGTATGTATTTTTTTTAACATGTGTATGACAGAAAAGCTCTTGAAACGGTTGGGAACACACCCCTGGAAGATTTGCAGTGATCTTAAAAGATCAAGAAACAAACTATTTCATGTTACCACCATTTTAATACTATTAAAATCCAGTACTTCATATCGCTGATTTCAAGAGTATCTCTTAATATACAGATATTTACAACTACCAAGTTTCTATGTGGAACTCTCACAACAGAAATAAGAGGTATCATCATCGCTAACACACACTGGTTTTAAATCTGGTATTGTCAAAAAGAAACAAGAACAGGTTAATTTTAAAATAACAGAATATAGAAGTAAAAGTCCTTGTAGCTCAATCCCTCAGTACCTGAGAACATAATCTTACCCTTGCACAAGGCCACCAAACCTAGATGGACCGCAGACCAGCGCTTTTGAGGAGCCAGTCTTCCTGAGTAAATCACAGGGAAAATTTTGAATGGCAGCCTGCATGTGGAATGTACAACGCTGTATAAATTCCAGCATCTAGAGAGGAGGGAGAGGGCAAAAACAACAGAAAAATTACTTCAGAACTACAATATAAATCTTTTTAAATTAATAGATCTTGACTACTGCAAAAATAACTAGTTACTTGCAATATTTAAATAGGCATTTCAAGAAACAGATATACAGGAAACCACGAAAAATTACATGAAAATGTAAGAGAAAGCTTGCTTCAAACACCAGATGACTAACTTTCAAGACATTCACCCACTGAAAACTGTAATATCTGGTTTCTTTCTAAGAGGAGCATTGTTAAAAACAGGAAACACAAATATTATAATACAAGTTTTAAATCAGTACTATAGTCACGAATAAGCCTTCTTGATACTGCGTTCTGCTCCATGCTCGCAAAAACTACACACTTGAAAAAAACTTCAGGCTTACCCCTGAATTGCACATACGTGCAAACAAACTACATACACTGGGGACTGAAAACATGGGCCTGCCATTCTCCTCACTGCACACTTAAGACATAAAGGTCCTCACAAGTTCCAGGCAGACACGTCCCTGCACCTCAGCAAAACCTTAGTTAAATAATGTGAATCACGAAGACTTCAAAAATACCATTACTGACACTGAAAAATAATATTAAGTAATTACCTAACACATAAAAGTGGAGAATTTCTATGTGGAATGTTGAAGTTTCTTCACTTTGAAGACGTGAGTACATATCTAGCACATCTTCAACACATATTACACACACATACCTGGGCACTGTTTTCTTTGCCAGCTGACATAGCCCAGCACCGAGGACTTCTTCCATCTTTATCATGTACTCTCAGATCACCTCCTTCATCCAATAACCTGCTAAGAATCCATCGATTTCCCGAGAACGAAGCTGCGTGCACTGGGGTGCTTCCATCGTAACAGCGACTGAGGAACGTTAAAGCAGAAATGTTTCTACCTAGCCCTACCACACCCAACCAGCTGTGCTGCTGGGGAAAAAAAGCAGCATATCTAGAACATATATGTACTCCCAAACAATGACATTCACTATGAGATAAGGAAAATGAAGCACCGACTTACCTCTGAGGATCGTTGGCTACCTGCATCTTAAACACTTCTTCATTTGCATACAGTAAACAGTGTATTACATTGATGAAAACCACTAAAAGATTAAACATCAATTTCAATTTAAGAAAAAAAAGTATTTTTTTACTTAACTGATTAACGTCTGAGCCATAATCCAACAGCACATCGACGATTTTATCAAGACCCAGCAATGCAGCGACGAAGAGAGAAGTTTGGCCCATGGAGTTTACAGCATCAACAAAAACACCTACAAGAAAACAAAAGATTAGGAGGCGAGCGCTGGCTGCCCCGGCCCCGAATAAAGGCAACGGTTCATCAACAATGAAACCGAGTGCCGCATCCTCTCCTAGACA